GGGGGCGTGGGGGGGGCGAGGAGTCGTGGCGCTGCAGCTCGCCGGCCTGTGGCTGCCGCTCCCTGGGGTCGATCTTGTTATAAATAGTCCTGGGTGTCGGGGACCCTCCTGGCCAGCCCCTCCTTGCCTTCAGATCCAAGATGTCCAAGGGCGAGACTCACTGGTTTTAGGCAAGTTTTAGGAAAAACCAGTACCTGAAACTTACCCATCTGCGCTCTGCAAGGAAACGAAGAGATTTTAGAATTTATTGGTGAGAAGAGTATAGAAAGAGTCCATTCTTTACCCCAATACAAGGAGGGATGTGGGAAGATCCAGAGTTAAATTTAAGTAGAGAACTTGGAGCGGGTGGAAGGGGGAAGTGCAAAGTGTGTGGGTACTTGATCGCCCTACTGACTCTTAGGGAAGAAACGGGCCAGGCAGGTGCATGGGACTCTGCCACTTGATGTAATAGTGCCACAATCATTGACATAAACAGAATGCTTGGGCAGTTTTATCTAATATTCTTTTCTGGGGAGCTAATATCTTTAAGGTGGGAGTGGGAAAGAATTTTACACACCTGGGAATGGCAGTACAGGATATAACCAGCCAAAGTGATCATTAAAAGGACCTGGCCAAACTGATCATGTCTAGACCCAAATACAGAGAGTAAAGAAATGGACAACAAACACATCCACCACTGCGGCAAATTCAGGTGGCCCCCAAAGAGTAAAGAGGAATAAGGGAAGAGGGTATGTGGATAAATGTGGTCGGTACCACTGTGAATCTCACTGAAATGCGACAGCCACTCAGGGTCCATGTCAGTGAACAGGGATATTCAGAGTAGGACAGCTGGGAACAAGGGGGAAGTTGAAGGCAACTAGCAACTATACGCAAGATGGGAAACAAAACTAAGGAACAAGGTAGCCAACCAAGTAGCAGAAGCAGGGCCTGGTACGCATGCTGAGGTCTTAGGTGCTATGCTGCCAGGTGCCAGAAGACCTGTTCATTCAGTTCCTTAAAGCAAAGCCTTAAACAGGAGGTTTTTAACCTTTTTGGTCACTGTCTTCTTTGATATTATATTCAAAGCTCAGGTCCTTTTCCCTAGAAAATATGTACTAGTATAGGACAAACAAAATTTTGTATAGATTTCTTGGAGTTCGTAGACCCCGTGGAGCTTCAAATGGGGATAGAAGGGATTACCCTATTTGGTTCTCTTACCTTTTTTTGGCTTTCATTCTTTAAAATAAGGCAGTTAAAAAACTCAAAGAGGTTTTTAATGTTTTTAAAGAAACAAAGCATAGAATTTTGTTCTCCGGGCTCTTTTGTTCTGGGACTCCTTACTCCCCTCTCTCTCTCTCTCTCTCTCTCTCTCTCTTTCCTTCCTTCCTTCCTTCCTTCCTTCCTTCCTTCCTTCCTTCCTCCCTCCCTCCCTCCCTCCCTCCGTTCTTTCTTTCTTTCTTTCTTTCTTTCTTTCTTTCTTTCTTTCTTTCTTTCTTTCTTTCTTTCTTTCTTTCTTTCCTAA